GACAGTGTTTCTGTATGAATGTCGAGATGATGTAACTACACATCTAAAAATTGTCTTTTTTCGCATGCAAACCTGAAAGAATACGAGGTCATCCTGCAAAGGGCTGGCCTCGATCGTTTGTCGCATGAAGAAGTGAAAACATTACGTGTTTGTGCTCGCCATCGCTATGGTATGGGCAAGTACTACTGTGTCAGTATCCAGGGCACAAAGGACCACCTGCCAGAGTTAAAAGCCGTGACGTGATCAATCCTGCCACGGCCAAGGAGGTGTTTCAGTTGTTTGATATATCTGTGCCGATAGGTTCACGTAAGAATAAAACACACAACTTTTGGAGGATTTCTTTGTCTTAGCCTTGTAATCAAATTAAAACTTTATTTATTACTCACAGAGAAGATAAAGTGAACATATAATGAATGTTGTGTCCTGTCATAAAACACCTATAAGTTCTCAGCCCCTACTGTGCCCGTTTTTTCAGCAGCATGTGTTTTTGTACATTCCTCTTCAGGAGTAAACAATGTAGAATTCGTATCTGCTTTATGTTTTTTACGACAGGGTGAACATATAGCTAATGGAAAGATAAAAGAAAAAGTAATAAATACCCTATAAGACAAGCACTGTAAAATAAGTTATTTGAAATTTAGTTTCTTCAACACTTTCTAACAAAAATTCTCAGGACAACAGTCATCTCAATTCTGGTCTCCTTCAACAGAAAATAGATTTAAAAAACAAAAGCATAATAGGTGAAAAAGGAAGACCCCTCGACGGGTCATGTACAAATTAAAGACTCTGAAATTATTTTACGTTCGTCCGCTTTTATACGCTTTGTTTCCTGCCATCAGAACGCCAATTGCAGATAACACAGCAGTAACACTGTTACAACTAACTAAAATCATATTTCACCAGAAAAATTCTACAATGTTGACTTCAACTAATTCTCTGCTATAACACCGGCACGGAGGTTACTCTCTGTTCTGAAACCGCAAAACTCCTTTCACTGCAAGCGAGAGGAACATTATGGTAATGTAAAAGGTACTTAATTAAAACCAAAGACAATCGAAACCATTCATTAAAGATTTTAAAAAACATTTAACAGCAATTTAAAAGCTCGCAAGATCGTCACTGGTGTGAAATCAGTGTTGGTTAAATCCATTTTGAAATCACTGGTGATCCTTTCAATCTGATTGACTCTCAGCGGTGCAATTTATTCACGAATCGCACACTTAACGATCAATTTGCGGGAAAGTGAAATATACTTTTGCAACTTTACAAACCAGCTCAGCCAATGATTCACTGTGACAATTATCTCACAGCTACGTTGATATGGACGAGGTAAGGCAAACCAGCAACTTGATTGTGACAACTACTTCCTTGTCTACTCAGGATGAAATCTGGAGTCAACTCTTCTTGTTATTCCTCCTGGATTCATCACTAAAACCAAAAATAAAGAAACTAGCCAAGGCTCCTACAACACCTCCGGAGACTCCCCCTGAAAGCCCG